CAATAGTTGTTCTCAGAAGTCCTTGGTCCTTGTGCTCCAAATGGAAAAATTGAAGCAGCAAACCTGGATGGGTGAGATAGAATAGTTTTACTGTGGGAAGGGGAGTCACCCATTCTGCCAGATGAGAGAAGGGAAGAAGAAGGGCCAGAGTCTCTTGGTACACAGCTTTTACACCACCTTGAACTTGGAGTTGAGGAGACAATACATGATCACCTGGCTCCTCTCACTTGTGGGATAAGGCGAGGAGCCCTTAAGCCAAGACAGGGAGCAGTTCCAGCTATCCCTAACCTAGCCTGCCTCAGTATTTCCTCAAGAAACAATACCTGGCTTCCCCAAAAGTGTGTAAGGAGAGACAAACAGACAGAGATAGAGAGAGAGGCAGAGAAAAAGTAATCTTTTTAAATCTAGTCTTGGAACTGAAGGACCATTTGTTTTCCATATTCTACTAGTCACCAGAACAGCCCTAGTAAATTGTGCAAAGGAACCCCATTGGGAAACAACCTGAATCTGAATCTTAGGTACTGCCTGTGACACTTACCCACTGGCAGGTGACAGAAATAGGTAATGGTTCTAGGCTGTTTGCGTTGAGCACATGGGCTTTTCACCCCATGTTAACTACAGAACACATATTTGTGAATGCTAGTACTAAAAAGGGGTCCTTCATTGAGTTTGTGGATACTAACACCAGTTTTTCTTAGTGCCAGGCAATGCCTGCTCGTATTACAGCTCTTTTAGTTCCATAGCAGGCTGCTGCAGTACTTTCTCACCTTCAGTCCTTGTCTTGTGAACTCCATGAATGAAATCCGTCGACAATGAAGAGTGAGTGTGAGAGTGTAGAACTTACTAAAACAAGTGAGAAGAAAAGAAACAGGACTCTCTTCAGGTGAGAAGAGTTCCAGATAGGTTTGCCTGACAAAGTGGCTGAGTCAAGATGTTTCCCAACCTTCATGATAATTAGACATGTGGAACGCAAACATGCCCATTGATGTACCTGTAACATTCTGATTGCTTGTGCCATTTTGTCCCTTGGGGTTTGAAATTTATCCAGTCTAGACCATGGCCTCAAATTCATCACCGCCCTCTACTAAAGGTCACAGGGAAGTCCTGTCAACTTCCTTGTATTGTTGACAGCTCAAGTTACAATGGAATTTTCCAGAGACACATTTGTCCTAGTTGTACTTCCTATTTCCAACCACCTGGCTAGCCTGCCTGTTCAATTCTTGTGGTTACATTGTCAAAGAACACCTGAAAATATGGAGAAGATATGAATATTTATCAAGGGCAATAGAAACTAAATTTCCAAATATTCCAGATTATACATAGGTCATTGTAGAAAAGATAAGTTAAACTGAAGTAGAATGAGAAATCATTTCACTTAAACTCTTTTCACTTCAACATATCATTTTCTTTATTATTATATTTGTCCCCTTCTCTTCCTCTACAAATCTCTCAATCTTGTCAAGTATCATATTGACAAATTCCTAGGGAGGATTTTAGTTCTTAAAATTTGTAGCATTTAAAAAAAAAAAAAGTCCTCACTTTAGATTTCCTGTAGGTTCCATTTAGTGCTAACATTTTAAAGACTGTTGTAAAAGTTTTCAAATACCACAGTGCCCTGTTCAGGGAGCTAGGTAATTTGGTAAGGGAATTTCTACTTGAAAAAATCTTTGTATATCAGTGTCAGACATAAATTCAATTGTCAGCAAGATGTGTCAGAAGAGATTTCTTGTCATATTTGGCCACAAAGCAGAGATTTATTGAAAACACTTGCTGCTGCCTCTGAGTTGTTTTGCATAAACATGGTAGTTCAGTGAATGCTTGAAATTGTGGTGTGCATGTGTGTGTGTGTGCACATGTATGTGGGGGGGAGGCCCTCATGCATATTTTCTGGCTCTCAAAAATGATATCTAAGAGGAAAATACCAAAACATATTTCAATACATAGTGCTCTATCCAACTTATTATCAGATTATTATTTTTTCAACAACGGTGCTATAAGTAAATACCAATTTTTCACCCCTGCAGAAATGAATAATGCATCAAAATGTCCCAAAGCCAAGCTTTGGAATCCTGTTCTATGTCAGGAATAAGACAATGAGCATTTTCTGAGATTTGGAAACACAATAGATTTAATCTTCTTCAAAGAACTTTCATTATTTACAATCCCTTTGTACTCAGGTCAGTAGCAAAGTGTGAAAACATTGGCAAATAAAATTTCTGTCTTCAGAAATGGAAGACATGGAAATGGAATATAAAGTCAATTCTTATACTCACGCACAGAGTCAGCACAAGATTACAGCTTACAGATTTTGTAGCTTGCCAAATTCTTTTGTTTCTCCATCCAAATTTATTTGGCTCTGTACCAGAAGATACTTATAAAACTCTTTTTATAAATGTAGTGTGAAACATTGGTGCATAATATTATTGCTTATGTTACAATATCATAGTAATATTGGTAAGGAAATATCCATAATTTGTGGGGTGGGTGTCATCTATATCTAAGAGAGATCATCACTGTCATAGTTATTGATGAGTAGAAATTGTCAATACAGGTAACACATTGCTACCTGGCTATCAGACTTAATGGTTATACACTGGTGTTGTTTAGATCAATAAAATGGGTAACAAAAATAACTAAACTGACTGCCTCAGAGACTGGGAGTTTGAATTATAAAACGTAGCAGATTTTATGCTATTGTATGGATCTTATACCAATATGTTCAAGCCTATTGTTATCATCATTGTTACTGTCATTATTATACGTAGAGTAACTATACACCCAGGACACTATATAATACATCAAATCACTTTAATGTCTTCGGTGAGTTAAAATGTATTTCCAAATAGTACTTCTAGAAAATCCTTCTTATTAACTGACTGGAAAAATGAGGTATCTCTTGCACTGTACTGTGAGAAACACAAAGACAACAAAATTACAACCTTTTTCTTTAAGTAATTTATAATCACTTTGGCTTCTGTCTGCCTCTGATATCTAATTCTTTAAAATATCTCTTTATCATTTTAAAACATCCTTTCTTGGAGATGTTTTATATCCATAAATTACTCTTTATAGAATGTCTTTAATCAAGCATTGTGTCATTCATGATTCTCAAATTTTCATTTATGTCTTCCCTAAAATAGTTTAGAAAAACCTATGTATCTCCTTGCACATTTTGACTTTAATGTTTGAAACAGTTTGTTGTAAGTGAAATTTCTGTGAGAGATAAAACTAGCCCAATACACCAGTCCTTTAAATAAATCCTAAAGCATAAAATTATCATAGTGATTTGGTACTCACCATCATATCTTTACAGAATTCATGAGATGCTCCTCTTTAATAAAGGTGTTTGTCACTCAGTTTTCTCCTTGAACTAGTGTCAACAATTCTCTTTTCCCACAGAGAAATGTACAAACATTATCGATTTTTATGATCATCTTTCTTATTTGCAGCATACATATTTGTAAATGGAAATTTATTTTATGTTTTTGTTTCCCAATTATCTTTAACATTTCATTTTTTCTCTGAGTTAACATTACAATTAATGTGTCTTCACAGTTATATATAAAACTAATATTTTCTTGGAATTTTATCACTTAATCACAAGAATGGAGATTTTCCACTTATTAGTTCTACATGCCTGTGTATGAATACTACTTATTGCAAAAATTGCATTCTGATGTTCTTTTATTGATCTAAACACTAAAGAACCTTGTTTGCATATATGCATGAGTGAATATTGTAACAATGAGATTTTTATAGCAATCATCACATGAGTTTAAGTCCTCCCAAATTGTATGTCTGAGGCATTCTGTGAACTCTCACACTGTTATATTTAGTAATATTTCTACTCACCACTAGATGAGGTCTTCCTTCATTTAACTGAAAGTAAAAGTTTTAGAAATCTCCTGATTTTACAAAGGAATTTGTTACTCATTCAAGTTATCTACTTCTGTATTTTCTAGAAGGTACATCAATAAAAGCTATCCCAAGACTTATCAGGTAATTATAAAATACACCATCATTTTTCTTCTTAGAGGTACAAAAGTGCAATTAAATTTGTATCTGAAATTATGAAGTGCTTAATAAAATGAGGAATATGATTTATTAAAATATAATTTTTCCTTTGATAAATGTGCATATATAGGCATGTTGAACTTTAGTGATTGGCATTTTTTAAGTATAACTAAATAAAAATATATAAAGGAAATAACTTTAATTTTACTACCAAAACTAATCTTTCCAGCAGCTGGCTTAAATTTCATGTTTTGATAATAAGAGATGGAGAATACTAAGCATTTTATAAGTAATGTAAAAGTGAAAATTAACTACATTGGAATAAATATTTCATAATGTAATTGGATATGTGGTGAATGATGGAACTGAACATAACTGTCTAAACCTGGAAGGCATTACATATGGTTTTATCTATGGGTTTCAACCAATGCAACTAAAAAATGGTGGTATTCCTAGAGAGTATTCAGTTACACTTAAAATAATGTGTCACTTGCCTGCATTGCTTTGCACATTTGAAGGATTTTCTATTTAAAAATCAGCCCCAGGTATGAGTATTGACACTATAACTTGTCTATGTCTTGCCAGACTGTGTCTCGACAGCAGTACACTCATTTACAGAATAAGTGAAAAATTCTCAACACTTCCCATGCCCATTCATGAACTAACTAGCATTTCTGATTCTGTGTTTATCCTTAGAAGAAAGAATAAAACAATTGTTTTTAAAGACCAAAATCATAAGATAGGTCTATGGTAATGTGATTAAATCATTTCTTTAGAAACATGTGAAGTTTTAAACTTCAGGGTACTATTCCATTGTCAGATGCTTAAGGAGTGGGATGGATGTCTTTGCTAAAGTAAAAAAGAAGTTTGTGGGCAAAGGTAAGGGAAATTTTATGATGCTGTGAAGGCATTTTCTCTTATGATTGTTAGGTGAATGTATAGGATCCCACACTTACCCCCCAAAATTTAACATCTTTGTTTTGCAGCTGTTGTGAGTGCTATCCCTGTGCCAACCCTAGAAAGTGCCCAGTACCCTGGAATCCTTCCGTCTCCCACCTGTGGATACCCCCACCCGCAGTTCACTCTCCGGCCTGTACCATTCCCAACACTGTCAGTGGACCGAGGTTTTGGAGCAGGAAGAAGTCAGTGTAATGTATTTTCCTTTCTTTTGAATAAGAAAAAAAGTAAATAATAGCAAGGTGTCTTGTCAAATATGTAGCATTTTGACCTTCTTCACCTTTGTAAAGATTGATTTACCTATAACCTTGGTACTAGAATTTTCCCTTCTGACATAGTTTCTTTTGAGTCCCAGCTCACATATTTAAAAGACTCCACAACACACTCCACTGACAAAAATGGAATATGGTGGTCAACTGTGCCATAAAACAATAATGTGCTAGGTGCTTGAAAGAATATGTCTTGTTTGCTGGGAAGTTAATAGCCAAATGATATCTTCCAACATATTCTTATTTATCATCTTTAGCTAAATTGATTCCAAATGAACCCATACTCAATGAATCTGTTGCCTTTCTTTAATCATTTGAGCAATTAAGCAATACTTTTTCACCATTTAACTGTCGGAGAAAAGAGTAGTGTTTAATCTACCAGAAAGACAGCAGGAATGGAGGGACATTCTTAAGCAGCTATGTACACCCTAGTGATTTCTCCTGTGCCTTTAGATACTTTTTTTTATTTGAGCACAGCATTTTTTAGTCGATTTTATGGCTTTCATCTCTTAGTTAAGAACAGGTGACTCAGCAGCTTGTGTGAGAGAGGATGTTTTGTAATAGATATCATGGTAACAGCAATAAAATAAACGTGTGAAATAAGCTGTATTTTTTCCAACTCAACAGAGGCAGCTCTAAGAAATCATAAATCGTTGAGATGTAGCAAGGTTAGAATTAAAAGACATCAAAAATCTGCCAGGGGAGTATTAGATTCATTTTCCTTTTTCTCACTACGCATATCTACAGAATAGAGTTGTGTGCAGAAACTCAAAAGAAAATAGACCCCAAGCCATATTGAAGGGAATTAAATAAGAAACATCTGAAAAGTCAAACAACCAAAAAATTTCCAAATTTCAAAACAGCTAGACTTATTATTCCAATCAGAAATTCAGAGTCCACAGTCCTTTCTTCACGCCCACAGAGAAGTTTGCAGTTTTAGTTTCGTACTTTCCTCACTGGGTCATTATTTACTACATTCTTTTTATTTGATCTATATTCTATGATTTTAAAGGGACAGTGAAGAAGAATGTATAGAATAGCCTTTCTCTGGTCCAAGGTTTACTACTTTTTTATTAGTAATTACTTACTTTTATGCATTTCCCACTTCTTTTCTCTTTTTGAAGCCACGGTCCCCTTCTGAAAATGCATTCACTGAAAACAACAGCCCATTTATGCCTTCTATTTTTCTCTTGAGCTGGTATAGCATGTGAAACACTCTCTTATGGGATCATGGGGAAAATGATTATAAAGTTCAATAAAAAGAAATAAGCTGATATAAATTTAAGTTTGTCTATGTCTGGGTTTACTCTCATGTACAATTCTGGTACATGATTTTGATAGTGGGGCATATACAGTATATACATGAGGGTATACACGAAATCTTTGTACCTTCTACTCAATCTTAACCTAACATGACTGAAAATGCAACCTAATTAACTAAAACATTTAGTCTATTTACTAAATTCTTTGTTTTGATAATTTCTTAAAAGTGAGGACTATTAAATAATTCTGTAACTGCTATAAAATAAAATATAAATACAAAATATGTCATAGAACTATTATATAATGTTACATAAATAAAACACTCTTTAAAAAGTGTTCATTAATTTTTGACTTCATCTAAAATCACCAGGCAAGATCTTATATCACCTGACCAAGATCTTATAGATTTTTTAAAATACGTATATCCATTAATTCAACAAGTATTTTTGAACAAAGTCATGCAATGCAAAAGAATACAATCTAATCTAATATTGTTTCAAACAATTGCTTCAGAAAGAAATAAAAAAGGATAAGCACCCTCTTTTCTAAGAAACAAAGTATTCTCTAAATCACTGTCAGTAACAGTTAACTTTCAACCACTTGGTATTGGATTCTAAATGCCCTGGAGAGCATTAAACATCCCTGCTCTCTCTCAAGCAGAAAACATTTCATGACTCTGGGGGGAGATGTCTTATTAGTCACCTTGAGAAACAGAGAAAGACACACTTAGAAAAAGTTGGATTCTCCAAGTATGGAGACTCTCTTCTTCCAAAGTTATCTGAATGATTCTGTTTCTAAAGGATAAATCACTGAAGCCTTCCCTCAAAGACCAGTTGCTTTCTAAAGTCACAAATAAAGCTGAATCTCTCCCCAACTGTACAAAAGGGGAAGATGCAGTAGGTATATTCCTACTGCACACATTTGCTACCCATCAAGAGAGATTTATACAATTATGATAGGCAAACATTTTGTTTTCTACTGAGTGACTGAAGCTCTGAACTTTGTCTCAGTAAACTAGTGAGCTGTCCCTGGGGGACAGTGAACAACACTGTACTTTGAAAACCTCCAAAATAGATAGTCTTGGGACCTCATTTCCACAAATCATTACAAAACTAGTCTCCCCATTTCCTCATCTTTGAAAAAAGTACATAGTAGAGAAGTTTAAGTGATTTTCACCAAACCTTTCAGTTGGCATTGTCTTAATTGGTAGAAAGACTTGTCAAATTTGTCCGTGCTATCTTTCTGATTCAGTTCTCCTCCAAACCAGAAATCAACTAATAAATGGAATTTGGCCTACATAAAATCAAGAGTACGATGGAGTTCATGGATTATTCTTAAGGATCTTTTCAAAAACCCAACCAGTGAGGAACTGCGATTGCTCAGAAATATTGCATAGCGCTGCTCTTCTGAGCTTAACAAGTCAGTAGGGTCCTAGAAGTATTCATGTAAAGGCTTTGCTTAGAGTTATAGGCACACTATATGCATATCAAATATTGCAGCTTTTAGATAGATAAAAAATTCTCATTTCCATTTTTGTAATATTTTTGCCTGTTATACTGTAGCAATCATGTATGTGTATTGACTTTAATTATTATAAAGTGCCTTGAGATTTGACTCTGCTGTATAATTGTATGCTATTTGTACAATGAATTCCGACTGTTTAATCATTTGAAAATGAGTATATTGCCAACACTTATTTGATTCTTATTCTGTACTCTGAATTGCAGAGAGGCTGGACTTTGTGGGCAAAGAGTTTTCCTTTGCTTTCAGAGCTCTCCACACAGCTAAATGTCATGTCACTGAGCCAGCTTGTTTCACATAGGTGTCCTAGAGCTGGCAACTGAGCTGGCCAAATGGGCTCATCTGAAATGACAGCATTAATCTGGTGGAGCAGTTGCTATTATATTTATTTAAGGCTTTGCACTTCCTTAAATGTCAGCCAGTTCTGAAAGGCATTTATTTTGCTCCATTTAAAATATAAGAATTATAAATTATCTATGAAAACTCTTGTTCATTGCATTCACTTTGAATGAACACACCCAGTCCCTTGAATTGGAATCCATTCAGTTCCAAGGATGGCCCTCCCACTCCCTCACAAGGTTTTAGGCACTTTGTTTTTCATAGTGGGTGGTGCTAAGGATGGATTTCACCAAGGAGTGTGTCCATCTAGTTAGTATCACATCATGGTGATCCAGTGGGCATCATGGTGAAAGTCTGGAAATGCAGAACTGGGCACGAAGAAAAAAAAATTTAGAGAAGCCTATGAGAAGCAATACAAACAAAGAGAATAAGACTGGGCATGGCCAAAGTAACTTGAGTGAAAACCTCAGAATTCATCTGTTCCTGTAACGTGAAATTTTTCTCAAAATAAGAGGCTAAATTTCAAAAGACTAAAAAATGCAAATAAATTTGATTAAACTCACGATCACAATATTTTACCAAAACCCCTTTTCACTTCAAAGACACAGAAGAAATAGGAAAGGAAAAACAAAAGGAAGGAAAGAATAAAGAAAGAAAAGCAGGACATTACAAATGTATCATTGTTCCTTTAATGCGAAGATACTTTTAAAATATTGTCTGGATTAATTTCAATTCATCTTTAATTTTAAAAACATACTTAAAGCACACTTCTAAGGAAAATTGTGAAACTTCTCTACCTGGACACTTATTTTTAGCATAATATAAGCCCATTAATAAGAACCAGCCCATTGGAAATCAAAAGGGATCACAGAGATGCAGCTTTAGAAATCTCATTTGTAAGAGTCACAATTCAAAGAGGAACAGAGAAAACGTCAGTCAATTAGAAGCCAAGGCATCTCCCCCAATGAGGTTGTAAATCCCTTGTGAAGAATAATTATCTCTGTCCCAAGGATGATCTCTAGTGACCTTCCTGAAAGAACCTGGTTTTCCCTCCTAAACAATTTCTGCAATCTAATACTAAAAATATCCTTTGGGACCTGTGGTTTGAAAGAGTTGCAGACAAAGAGACACATTAAAGTCGACCTTCTTACAAGAACAAAGAGTGAGTGTAGATTCATCCATCACTCTTAGACCATTGGCACAAAAATGCCCATGTTGGGAATTGACCAAATCATCAAGTTTTTATTTGGAAAATTAGCCTTTGGTTATTTTCTCCTTTAGAGTATATTTGAGTCTAAAGTAAAACCTGTTTAATTTTGTCTCTAAAACTGCACTCTCAACTATCTCACCAGAAAACTGAATGCAAACACAAAAATGTTCCTCCGCTTGTAACATAACATCTACCTGGAGAGTTCTCACGAGTTTGTTGTCTTAATTACATTTCCCTTGGTTGAAGAAATTGTTTATGAAATCTCTATTTTTTGGCTCTGATTGCAATATGGCTATATCCTGCCCTTGGCCAGCCCTAAATCTTCCCTCCTCTGTCTTTGAAGGGGGTCAGCCTGGAGGCTGCTCTATGACCCTATCGAGCTCTGACCCCTTCTGAATAAGGAAGAATGAGTACCAATACCCTCTGAAAGCACTTTTCACTTCTGCATACCTTTCATATAATGTTTTGATTTTTTTTGTATCTTTCATCTCTCCTACCTTTGGCATTATAAGATTTCCTCTCTATCTTCTCTGCCCTTTGCTGACCTTATCAAGCCCCCTAGAGAGTTGTCTCAAAATTATCTTCCAAACTCATTATCTGAAAATATTTCCTGGTTAAAAACTCTCTTTCAAAAGACAGATATTATCTTCTTGTCTGCCTTTTTTTTTTTCAATTTGCCCAACAAAACTTTCTTAAGAAATAAATCATCAGAAATACTCCTATACAGTTAACACTTATACCTCCTAGGCAGCTCTTTTCATTTGTAATTTAACCTGAACCTGCAGACTTTAAATATGAATGAATAGTTGAGTTGAATCTGTGTCCTTAGCAAGAGAAATTACCTTGAAAATATTTTAGTTTTACAGGACTGTGCTCTCCAGAGAAAAGACACATTTCCATATACAAAGCTGTCCAAATGTCCATGGGCTGTCACAAATGACTATGTGAAGCCTCTTCAACTATAGCAATCCGCCTGAAAATTACAAGGTTTGTTACCAAAGAGGAAAAAGCATAATTTTGCATTCAGGCAACTTGCTCCAGCGGAGTCATCTCTCATATAACTTTTAGCTAGATGTGCTTCTATTTTGTTATGGGAGATAATGATAGTGGTTATTATTTGTATCATTTTATTAGCAATGCCTCTGAGCACCCTGTAACACTGATTTGTTTGACAGTTGACATGGCATGTTTAAATCACAAGAAAATTGGCATATTGGCTGGTAGATAATAATGCAGCTGTAACCGGGTTCGGTACATTGAATTTCACTGACATCGCTACTTATGAAAGGAGAAATAACTCTTTTTTCTCGCTTCATCACTTACAATTACAGGGCCCAGACAGTTCAGGCAATATAGTCAGTGCTGAATATATTTTACTACTCTTCCTGAAAAATAGATCCCTGTCCTCGTGGACCTATTCCTTCTGCTTAAAGGGGAAGTGATAACCGTATTCCATAAATATATGATGGTAGAATAATAAAAACATTCATAACTGAGAAGAGATTGGCCAGATCCTGATGTGTCTCTCTGATTGGCTAAGGAGAAAGGGAAAAGACACTTTGTCTGGAATAATAACTGGATGTCTTGTCTTCAATTGTAGCAGTGAGTGAAGGACCAACCACCCAGCAGCCGCCCATGTTGCCCCCAGCTCAGCCCGAGCATCCCAGCAGTGAGGAGGCACCAAGCAGAACCATCCCCACGGCCTGTGTCCGACCAACTCATCCACTCCGCAGCTTTGCTAACCCTTTGCTACCTCCACCAATGAGTGCAATAGAACCGAAAGTCCCTTACACACCGCTTTTGTCTCAGTCAGGTAAAGTACTTGATGGCTCCCATTTTAAATTATTATTGTCAGGAATATCTCTACTTGAATGCATGAGGGTGTCTGAGAAGCCCTGGATATAATACGTGTTTTCAGTGTGGATTACCTGCCTGATATGCTCATGTTTGTTACTGATATTTGTAGTGCAATTCTTAATTATCTGCTTTATAAGTGACTGGCCTGCTGTAGGTATTTCTTATTCATTTGGAAGTTGTCCATGAATCCTGGATGTCAGTTCATCATTTTAAATGTACGTTGTAGTTAAACTCATTAGATAATACTTGAAGCATTCCTGATTCCTTGACTTTTCATTCTGCATGTGGGTCCTAAATTCTGGAGCTAGACTCCAACACTAAAGAAAAATGTACAAAAATCAACAAAACCACTTCATAGAGAAATGCACTTAATCTCATATTTTGTCATATCCCAGGGATTCTTATTTATTTTGAAGTACTAGGACCAGAAATGAGGGTAATCACAGCACCAGGGTCTAATATTCTAATTTTAGAAATGAAGAAGCCAACATTTAGATAAATAGGAAGAAATAAATCTATGATACCTTGCAGGAAAATTAGATGGCAGGAATGAGAACCAAAACCTTGGATTCCCAGTGCAGTAATATTTTTATTACCTCAGCTGATATCAGTTAGGACTCAGCTCAACTTCGTCTTTTTAGAGTTGGAGAAAGACAGGAAGGGAGACAGAGGCAAAGAGCAAAAAGAACAGAGAGGAGGAAGAGGAAGTGGTTCAGAAAATGCAATATATAGATATCTAATTATGTATATATAATGATATAATAATGTATATAATGATAACTCAATAAATAGATAACTAGGTATATCCATATAAAAATATGTGGTGCTTAAAATTATTTGGACCATTAAAATAATTACAAACAGCCCCACTATATCAGGCATAAGGTAATAAAATTCAGTAATTTTAAGTAACCAGGCAAGTGGAGCAGGTACATCTAGATTGTACAAATATATGTGGGTAATTTTCTGCTATTTCAAGTCCACACCTATAGCAATTCTGCCACTGTATTACTACATAAACCTCACAACAACTGTAAAATATAGAAAAATAAAATTTCCTATGAACTATGAATATTAATTATATTGAGAATATGTCTTGCTTCTGGCCTCACATTAGCTGATTTGTTTACATCTTATCTGAAGTTCTTAACCTTTACCTGGTTTTTGGAATGGATACTCAGCTACCAACCTCTAGGAAGTAGGGTGGAGCTCAAAGACATGCAGGTTTCCTTTGCTTGAAATGCAAGCTGCTTGATGGTCTTCCTTGAAGCAGGCTTAGCACAGGTGGTGGGTACATTGCATGGCCTATGGCAAGGCTGCACAGTATGGTGGAAATGGGTTGTGGAAATCACAGGAAATTAAGAAGAGGGAGGGGAATAGGACTGGAACCCCACAATCCCCTTTGAGGGTATTTCCACAATGACCTAAAGACCTCCAACTAGGCTCCACCTCCCAATAGCTCTACTTTAACACATGGGCCCTTAGGGAACATTCAACATCTAAACCATAGCAGAAGAAAATCTTTAAGTAACTGTTTTACAGAGCAAAGTGATATTATGAATGCTATTTTAAAAGAAAGGTTTTATCAAGGCATTGATGTTTAGTTTGGAATACAAGACTTGGAAGTCAACCTATGGTAGCAAAATAACCAAAAAGTATTTTAATTTTAGAATAAACATGTATGATAGACAAAACAGAGAGGTAGCAATTTTTCCTACATGTGTTACTTTTTTCTATTTAAAATAATACTAAATCTGCCTTAAACAAAATCTTATACAATGTGGATTACATATGTCCTTAAGGAAGGAAAGCAGTGACTCTGTTAGCTCTGTACTTATTCCATCAAATACAAGCATATACTAAAGAGCCATTCTCTGATCAAATGTCAGATGGGCAAAATACCATTTTCTTTTATTTCCATTGTACAGTTATGAGCCTTCTTTTGTTTGACTATTGCTCTTGTTATTATTTTAACTCTTTTTCATAAGCCATCTCCACATTCATATTTTCCAATACCTCTGGCTTGAAATCTTGATTTGATTTTTTTCACAGTTCCCCTTTAAATGCTGCCCCCATACACACACTCAACATGAAGCATATTCTACCATTACTTTGGAATTCTTAAATGCCTTTCCCTTTTTTGTCTCTTCTTCATTGTCTTCCTGTGATTCCTGTGCATTTTATAATGCCTTACCTTGTGATTTTCAAATAAGTCTGTCTGCATTGCTCCTGTCACATGGTAAATAGCATGCTTTTAAAAAGGGTTGGTGTTTACTTATTCTAATAGAAAAAGAAAATTAGTAGACTGACAAATGTATTATTGGTGACATTAACTACATGCTTCTTAGCCTAAGAGATGAACTACTTAGAGCCCTCAACAAATTTTAATTCTAAGAAAATCATTACTTTAGTCAAACTGATTGATGAAGTAAAGTCATTCTCTTGTCAGCTTAAAAAAGAAAATACCTCAAATAATTTTACTGTGGATTTCACAATAAAGAAGTGTGTAATTAGTAATGAATTTATCTTTACTTACTGCAAGTAATTGCTTTAGAATATGGTAATGTGAGGCATTCCTCTAATTTTTATAGATCATGCTAAATGAGAGGCTCTTTCCAATTTGAAAGCTTTGAGATTAGGATCAATGAAGAAGTTCTTTCCTCATTCAAATTCCTGTGTGTGGTTTTTCATGGCAGCATTAAGGGTCCTTGCCTCAGTTTGCCTCCCACTGAGGTACACAGAGCTGTGTTTGCAGCAACTTTATATATGAGGCATGGGGCAGCATGTATTATGCAGTTACAATCTCCCTGGGATTGCAGAGCATTTTGAAGTATTGCTATAGTAGGTGGTAATTAGAAAGTCATTCTGTTGTCATAATGACTAAAATTCTGTCTACCTGCAAACACAGATTCATTCCTTCATTTTTTTTTCCTTCCACCTGCTGAGTTGGAAATTTTCGCTTACTATCCTCCAAGGTATTTATGGTGTTTCTTAGAATTTCTTCATCATCTCATGATAAAATGGTTCTTTTTCTTAATGCTTCATCTTTGGATGTGTGAATAACTGTGTGGTCTTTACACATTTCACAAAGCAATCACTGTGCTTTGCAAATCACAGACATAATATAAGTGATTTGGCAAAGTCCTCTTTCGGGTTAAATAGAAACTGACGGAGTGTTGGGCTTATTGCATTATAGATCCAAAATAAATTATACAAAGGGCCAAGGACTGTGTATGTGTGTGGTTTGTGTGTGTGTGTATGTGTGTGTGTGTGTATGTGTGTGTGTGTGTGTTTTCACTAGTGAAAATTCCTCTTAGCTGTGAAATGATCAGCTGCACTTTAAATGAACTTGGATCAGGAAGCTATTTGTCTTCCAAAGCTGTAGTTTTATAGGGAAAGAAAACGTGACCACTTAAATAGTGACTTTTAAATTGTAGCACTCATTTATAACATTAACCTCCCAGAACTCTTGCATCTTTGTAAAACTGAATAAGTGCTATATTGTACTCCAGTCTCACATTACATTTCTGCACATAAATATTTACAAAAGCAAATACCCAGAGCATTCTGATCTTTTCAGTCTTCGAGGGATCAATAAGTCAGTAGACATGACAAGACCAAAACTCACTTCATTATACTGAGAAATTGAGTTTGATTTTCCCCCTGCAAATTGTAGCATGTGCTTCAATTTGTCTGAACATTGAGGACAAAGTGTAGGTGTAGGTGGCTGACAGTGGACAGAAAAGGTGGGTGATTTATATTTTATGGCTGGTTGGGAAATCATGTATTCCTGCTGTAACTTTATCTTTTTGGCAGGACTTATTTCAGTAAATAGGCTACCACACAAGACTGCCAATAAATTACTAAAATGCATTAATACAATTGCTTCCCCTGAGCCACTCATGGACCCCATTGGGAATGTCCATCAATGATACCACATACGTGTTCCATTCTGCTAAAATCAGGTACAGGCAGAGGTCATGGGAGATCAAACATCCTTTAGCAAGTGACACAGACAATCATTTTTAAGGCCAGTCAGAGCAGATAAATCATGACACAGCTAAGTAGGCGAGATGTGTTGGTTTGGTGTTATTGGAAACAATACTTTCAATCAATTCTACAGTAGAAAATTACACATCTTATTACACAAATTTCATCTCATGTGGAAGCTCATCTGTTGCCTTCTTACAGGGATCTCTTTGAAATTTTCCTGTCCCACTTGTAACAGATTTTTAATGGATGAAATTTGATTTGACTTAGTCTGATCATCCTAAATGATCTTTTGGTAAAATGTAATTGAGAGATTTGCTTAGATATTGTTACAATTTGCTGTTCTGAAACTTACTAATTTCCTCTAGTATGGTATTCTGGCCTTTAAATAGGAAAGAGCTATGTTAACTAACTCTCAAAGAGGGAAACAATTGCTAGAGGAGACTTTATGAGTGATCCAAATGGTTGATGCTTCATTTTTAGATGATAAACCTGAGACTTGAAAAGGTTAACTTGCCCAAGGTTAACAATTGAGCTAACAGGCTTAAAAAATTAGAGAAATATAACATTAAAGAGGAACAATTTTATTTTGCTTTTTAGTTTTATGTACTTATTCTTAGATTGGCTTTTAGTTCCCCTACAAAGGGTCTTCTAGTCTGAGCCTAAATATTAGATACCTGAAAGAAAGAATTGTAGCAGGTAGGTTGAGTCATTTAGTTTTGATGTCAATATTTTATTCCTTTATATTGGCATTAGATGGAAGAAAGAAGTTAGAGCAAGAAGACCCAATAGCCAGAGAACTCTGGAATAGCTGCCATCTGTCTTAAACTCACCTGTCCAACGTGTCTGTTATCTCTCTACAATAAGGCAGGAAGCCAAGAGCTGACATCTGCTGTTTTCAGCACCACTGATGGCCAGGGCTTTGGAGTCCAACAAAGAAAATGCAGATGAGCAGAAGGAAGTATA